ATATAACTAACTGCCATCCTATCACTCAATTCACCAATCATATGACTTGCCCCATCTACCCACAAAGTCACCGAAAATAACTCAAACCCCCCAAATACCCAGTTTAGCAAACACAGAACGTACCAAGCAACTGAAACATATCCTAAACCAAGGCGCTACTCCCGCTAAAATCTAAAGGCCTCCTCCAAAATCCCAACTGCAAAGCAGCTAATCAGCCTGAGTAGCAGCCTCCTGAAATAAGCTCATCAACGGCGGACGCACCTCGATCCGGAACCGTCGGCCGGCCGCAGGGCATATTACAGCCCCACCCTCCGACCACCACCTTCACACGGGCGACACACGTACAACACACCCTACCGCCATCGCCAAAAGCACGTTCGGAGCCAGGGTGCGAGGAGCGACGGATCTCGAGGCTGAGCCGGCTAGCTGTTGCGAGGGAATCGAGGCCGCGACGTCGGGGCGCCTGGCTCGTAGTGAGCGGCGAATGCAGGTGAGTGGGTATATCCGCGCCGGTCAGCAAACAAGAACCGCCGCTCTCGATCCCCCTCAGTCCGATCAACGCGTGCCGCTGCCGTTCTGGCCCTACCACCCCTCACACTCCACACTGCGTCGCCCAAGTCCCCCGACCGACCGTCTCGCACCCGCTGCCGCCACACCCCTCAGCCTGTCGTACGCATCCTAACGCCACGTCCGGCTCCTGCTCGTTGAAAGAGGTAGAACTCGCTCGTCGAGCTCTGATCGGCAATTCAGGCCGGGTCCATCGTCGCGATAGCCGGGTGGTCCAATGTGCGCGGGTGCCTCGCCTCGACCGGCGGCTACCAATCCGAGCAGCGCTCCCCGTGATCGCCTCATCATCACACACCATGTCGCAGGATCAAGCTCTGCGCGCAACGAACACAACGTAGGTCACGGACAAAGAGCACGACTGCACAGGGACGTCCACTACGGACGCTGACTTCGACCACACTGCACAACGGCGATTGGAGCAGAGAGACGCGACAAGGCGATAGAGATGTGCTTTGCTTTTCCCGTCATGCTCATAAAGTGCGAGGCCGTGCGTCGAGCCTTGAACTCGACGACTTCATCTGGCCCAAGCGGAGGCTCAGCGCTGGTGCCAGACGGAGCGGAGACGACGTTCGATCGCTTGGACCCGAGGTTCTCAACTTGACGAACGAGCAAGGGCTCACAGTAGTGGCAGTTTGGGGAGTCAACGGCGGAATGTAAGGAGTGTACATGTGCCCGGCATGTGATGGCAGGAGAAGCGACAGCCAGGTGGAGGCTCGCCATCTTCTTGACGTCGCTCCCGGTCGATGCAGCACTACTAACGTGGCTGACGACAATCGATGGTCAGCGGCCTCGATCAGGATTCAAGCGACCGATAAGCGAATCCGGACACTTTCTTCCGAGATTCGGCATCTCGAACCGCCCATGTGTGTGAACAATGGGAGTTGTGTAATGCTCCAATAGGTGATCAAGCAGTGCAAGCCATCGAACCCACCCCCAATGTACTGCCGGTGTCGTCATGTCGGCACCACAGAGTCGACACGGTTCGGGGTCGGATCCGACTTCTGCCCCGATTTTGGCAACATCGAATAGCCATGCCGTACGACCCGCCTTTGTCCTTCTCGATTCATCGGGCATAAACCCGTCGCACCAGATTCCGCCTAATTCGTAGCGACGCCGACGGGCGGGCTCCACAGCTGGCTATCATCGGGGGCGAAGATCACTACATACATCGTCGCCTCGTCAAAAGACATGATACCCACCGTCAAGGCACAAGGCTCGTAACTCGCAAATGGATGCTCCTAACAAACTCCGGAACCGGAACCGCGACTCGCGATCGAGTCCCAAACCACCGAGAAACAACGGCTTATCAATCCAAACCGCCGCTCGTAATGGCACCCGACCGGAACACGAACCGCCCACGACTGCAGTCCCGATTCGACCGACCGCCGACTCCTGCAACGGACACAATCAAGCACAATCATCGAACGGTTCGGCGAACCACGAACAGGGATGTCCGTGCATTCCAAAAAACGGGGCTGCGGACCGGGTTTCGGTCTGGGTGCACGAAGCGGGTCGGCGTACGGGATTCATCTGGTTTTCCGACCAGGGGGGGGGCCGTCGCGCTTTGACGAAGTAAGCTCAGGAAATCGAGCCGAACGGGACGCCGCCCCCCGTTCCGCCGGGGACGAAGGTCTTGGAGTCCTCGATGACTGACAATCGCAAGTTACCAGAGGTTTGGCCCACGCTAGACCCTGTTGGGATTGGGTGGACTCCCACGACACTTCGGCCGTGAGCACGACCCAGCGGCTTTTTGAAGTGCCAAGGCCTCCGGCGAGAGGACGTTAGTCGTGCGGTCCTGAGTGGCCGAAGCCAGACCGAGACCACTGACTTCCCCGCTTAGGACTTCCTCGCCCGCTTTTGTTGCTCGGTGTCGGCTACCACTGGCGGGGCCCGATAGGTGCTGTTCCGGCCGGGACCGCCGCTTCGGATTACGGTGCGAGGTCGGATACTCCGACCCGTCCGAGGGAAGTCGGGCGCTGTCGTGTGTTGTCCCTCCGCTGATTGAAGTAAATTCGAACGGGCGGAGTGAGCTGGAGTGGTGTCTTGGAGAAGCGAAGACTTGGTCGTAGAGGGGGCCCGCTGGATCGGGTACCCCGCGTAGTTGCCGGGAAGCTTGACCTCAGGCGTGGTGCTCGCCGGCGACGGGGAGGTCACGTGCGCGGGACCACGCGGGACGTACGGTACTGATTTGCTCACGAGTCGTAGGTGGAGCTCGGCTTGTCCTTGACGAGCTGTCACCGCCAAACGAGGCCCGGTCTCGCTTCAGCGAGGGAAGGCGGCGGCTGGCTGGTTGGAACAGGCGCGGTGTAGAGGATCTGACGCGGCGCCGGCGTTACCGAGGCCTGAGCAGCCATGGCCCGGAAGCCTCATCCGGGACGTCGGTGGGGCCCTAGGCCATTGCTGCTCGGTTTAACCGTCGGCGGCGCGGGTGTTGCGTGGACCATCTCCTGGGCGCCCACGGACAATCCGTCTGCTTCATGCTTGCTGCAGTTGCTGCTTATGCTTCTTCGTCTCGCGCTCCCTTGATTTTCTCAACAGGGCGTTGTCTGGTCGCGGTGGAACGCCCACGCACGCAGGTCGGCCGTTACTCGGGCGTTGATCCTGTAGGATTTTCAGGCTGATGTCTTCGCGCCTGATGAGGTGGTGAGAAAAAAGAGGCTTTTCTTTTTCTAGGCAAGACAACTGAGGCCAGCCGGCTGTCCGTTCAGTAGTCGTGAGCGTGGGATTTCCGCCGTCCGATGAACCTCTAACCTTCCGCCTACAATAGTAGTAGTAGTCCTGCGGCGGGTGGACGGCAGTCCAGCCGCGCCTCGGTGTAGTTAGACCTCCAACGCGATCGCAGCGGTAGGGGAGAATCTTCGGGAATCTGAGAGTTGTTGTTGAACGAGCACGAGCCGCTCGTTGAAGATCGGATTGAGCTCCTTGGACTTGGAACGGGTCCTCCGCTTCTGGTGCTCGAACTCGACCTCGACGAACGGCGACGAGGATCCTTGGCCGTCCTTTGGCATGAGATTGTGGGCGGCGATCACTTCGACTACTAGCTTTTCGTCCTTCGCCATCGCGGTTTAAGCTCACCGCCGACCCCAAACTTCTCTCCTCCCTTCAATTATTTCGCAATTGATTTGAGAGGATAATGGAGCTTTCGAGAATCGTGAGGTTTAAATTCTCGAAATTCCAACTCTTTTTTAAAATGGATTAAAGACTAGATTTTTATTAGGGTTTTAGGGGGGTTTTATTGGATTAGAGCGGGCGCGCGTGCAGAACTGTTGCAGTGAGGGAGACGACCGTATCGATGTAGGAATTTAAAACCGGTTCAGAATTCGGTCTGCTGCTCCGCAGGAACAGTTACGTTGACTAGAAAGCTTACGGTTGTGTCAGGGACTCAATTCTTGTCTTTCTGGTTTTTAATGCGGGATACGGTTAGGGGGAGAGGCGAATGATGACGTGGCATCTTCTGATTAGGTGTTGAGCTGTGTGGAGGGGTGATGTACGTATCCCTTATCTTTGGGTATTTAATGACCATATCTTGGGAGGTACGCTTAGGTACTTTTGACGCCGTTTTGTCGTTCGAAATTTTGGCGCGAAAGGGGGGGAGGGGGGAGTAAACGGTGACGGAGTTAACGGCACTTTCGTAATTTGGGCTGTCGCCTGTTATAGCATATTTTGGGCTTCGACACGGCGAATGCTTTTTTTGGAGAAGCGCGCTTTGTGGCCTGTTTTGGTGAAGGAGTGTGTTCTCTGTTCGCGCTGAAAAGAGGGTTGAACCTGAACGCACACAGAAGTGCGGGAATTAACGTAGTAGACTCTCTACGGACAATTGGGTTTAAGTGGAAATTACCCATGTCATTAATTTTGATATTAATTTGGGTTATCAGCTTATTAACTCTTCATTTTGATATTGGAAGATATGTTTTCTCAGAAATTGAACGTCGGATTCTGGAGTACATAAACCCGGGCCAAGTCTGGGCTCCGGGCCGGGCCCGGGCCGGCTCTTTTGTGCCCGGCCCGGGCCCGGCCCGGCCCGGAATAGTAGTTTTTTTATTTTTTTATTTTTTATGTATTATATTATATATGTATATATAAATATATATAATATGTATATTATATGTATATATAATATATTTTTATATATGTATAATATATGTATATATAATATATTTCTATATATTTATAATATGTCATATGTGTGTATATATATACTCTCTCTTAGTATATAAGTATATATAAATATACTCTCTCTTATATAAGTATATATATATGTATAAGTATATATAAGTATACTTTCTCTTATATAAGTATATACAAGAATACTCTCTCTTATATATGTATAATGTATGTATGTATATATGTATATACTCTCTCTCTTAGTATATATGTATATATAAGTATACTCTCTCTTATATATGTATACTCTCTCTTATATATGTATAATATGTGTGTGTGTATACTCTCTCTCTTAGTATATAAGTATAGTATATTACAACGGTTACTTCTTCCACATTGGCCCAACGGGCAACGGCTACTTATGTGATTCTTTCTCTCTTAAGTAATAACTTATAAATATATACAATATATTTACATATAATATATGTATATATAATATATAGTTACATAATAATTTGTAAGTATATACTAATACATAATTATATAAAATATAATAATATTAAACTAATTTTTAGAAATTTTTTATCAAAAAAAAAAAGAAAAGAAATTTAAAAAAACCTAATTGGGATGTACTTATCTATTGTGATGCGATGAATTCCAAAATAAATTTATACTTGTAATTTGTAAATGATTTATTAATTATTAATAAAGAATTTATTTTTATAATTTTTTATTTATAATTTATGTAATTTAAGTGATTAATAAAATTATTATTTTTTATTAAATTTTTTTATTTTTTTATAATTTAAATAAAATTAAAAAAATTTGATAAAAAAATAAAAAAAAATCGGGCCGGTCCGGGGTACCCGGGTCCGGGTCCGGGCTCCGGTTTTGCCCGGCCCGGATGGACATGCCTAGGTGGCGGAGCTAGGAATTACTATAAGGGGGGCCAAACCAAACGAGAGGAAAACGTAGAAAACAAATGAGAATAAGGTTTGGTAGAGTATGAAAGATGAAAGTGGACGGGACGCAACAATTCGCAATTTGTTGACTCACGAGAGGAACGAAAGAATTTTCGAGAAAGTTCAAGAGATTATAATTTACAGCCTATGATTTAGGAAGCTATTACTAACAAGGTTTTTTTTTTACTTTGCTTTTTTTGGATATACCCTTTAAATTATGCATATTGCAAAACTTCCACTCACGTTTCTATACTTTTAAAACTATCCCGAATCATCAAACATGTTGATGACTATGACCAAACAGTCAATCGGATCCGGGCTGGGATCGGTTTTGATCCGGAACTGGATCGGTCCCCCGTGGGGTCCTCGTCGGGACGAGGTAGGGGAGAGTGATGAAGGTGTCGTTTCCTTCTCCGACTTTATGTTTGGTTCTTGAATGGGGGTTTGGTGTTCACGCTGCACAGACAAGAAGAATCTGTGAGATGGCGGGGGTCGGTTCCTCCATAGTTCCTCCAACGGTCAAGTTAGTGAAGCCTGAGTGGGGAAGGGGAAGGTCAGTGTTTGTGGGAAAATTTGCAGTAAAAAGACAGTGAAAGAAAATTGACTTGTATTCTGTCAAAATCGATTACAATTTGGATTTTCTGATTACAAAAGAGAGGAGAATGAATTTGATTCTCCCCTTTGTTTAAAACTGGGTTCTTCACGGTGGTGATGGAGTGCCTCCCTCGAATGCTCGCGTCGAGTTTGCTCTCCGTTGACGATCCGACGTTTTGCTTCACTGGAACGATGTCTTCTCCTCACGATTCGACGTTGTGGAGAACTTGCGTGGCAAGTTTGAGAACTCTGAACGAGTTTAGAATAACTCTGTGAAAGAGTTGATTTGAACCGAAGATCGGTTAATAAGCCAAGGCTAGAAGAAAGCTCCGGTGGTCGATCGTTGCTGAGGATGAACGTCGATCTCACCCTTGCTGCCAAGCCAAAAGATCTCCTCTTCGCTGTTGAAAAGAGGATCAATCCGAGCCAAGAAGCTCAAACCTCGCTGCCCAGTCTCAGATCCAAAAAGCCAGCCGAAAAAGCCTTGAACTCCGGACCAAAGAAGCCAACCCCGAACTCAGTTGAGTTTACTCTCTTTTATAGGGGATTAAGGGGGTGTAACCACCCCCTTAAATCACTCCTAAGTGGGGTGTAACCGCACACAAATCATGGGAACCGGTTTTGGAACCGTTCAGCTCGTGCTTTGAACGAGTCAAACGCTAAAAAAATAGCGTTCAAGGCCCTAACTCCGCGTTTTAGACTGGAGACGCGGAGTTGGGCACCCGCTGGTTGTTGAAAAACGCGAGGGTCACCCGCGTTTTGGAGTTTGAAGGCTGGAAACGCGGGGGTCGCCTGCGTTTCGTCTAATGAAGGTTGGAAACGCGAGGGTCGCTCGTGTTTTGCTTGTTGAAGCTTGGAAATGTGAGGGTCACCTGCGTTTCAGGAATTGAAACGCGGAGATGAATTCCGCGTTTTTAGAAGGAGCCAATGACTTATAGCTTCTTCTGCAGAGCGTTGCAAAGACTATTATCTTATAATCTTCATCTTGGCTCCTTGAAAATATAAGATTCGTCAGATTGTAACTCCCGATGTTGATTGTGAAGGTTGTTGATTAGAGCTTTCATCAGTTGTTGTGAAGGTCGTCAGATTGTAACCTTCATCGATCTATGTGAAAGTCTTCAAATTATAGCCTTCTGGAAGTCGTCAGATTGTAACTTCTATCATCGGTGTTTGATGGGGGTGTAGGCGTAAAAAAATGCTGAGAGGTATCCAAGCACAGCTCAAAAGGAAGTCATCCAAAATGTCAAAAAGAACACAAGTATAGACTGTCTCGCATGCGAGACAGTCTTTACTATCTCGCACGCGAGACAGACTTGACTGTCTCGCCGTGCGAGACAGTCTTTACTGTCTCGCGGGCGAGACAGACTTTTACTGTCTCGCCCACGCGAGACAGTCTTTACTGTCTCGCCGTGCGAGACAATCTTTACTGTCTCGCCGTGCGAGATAGAATTTACTGTCTCGCACGTGAGACAGCTCTCAGAAGGCCAAAACTATTTTGCATTGTCGACTGCAGCGGCCAAAGAACAGTTACTTGGTCAGTTGTTTTGCCCCCATTTCTATTGTTGTGCATTCCTATCCCTATAAATACCTCCCTAGGCATGAAATAAAGGGGGAGAGCATTTTGGAGCAGAGGAGACTTGAGCTTTTGGTGATTTTGAGGAAGAAAGAGAGAACTTTCACCATTTGACAAGCATCATTCGGTGAATCCTTGAGATCTAAGCTTAGACTTGATCTTTGGAAGAGTGAACATCTTACATCGATAAGATATTCGCTTCAAATTCTTACTTCGATAAACGAAGGAAGAATCATTAAACCCCTCACGGTTCAATCAGAATCTGTGATTCGGTGGTCCACGGGCTAACGCGCCTCCGGCACAGGCAAAGATCCCACGCAAGCAGCGATCCAAACAACGATCCTGCGTTTGTTTCTCAAGAGTTGTAATTTTTATTTTGTTGTGTAAAAGAAGTCTTATAAAAAGACTATCTCTTTTGAATTTGTTGTAATCGACCGAAGATATAATGAATTCCATAACAAAACCAACTTTTGACGCAAACAAACTGGCGACCACAGTGGGAGCCAACGGTCTCGCTGCCGAGACCATCGTGTCGCAGCCAATCATCAAGATCCCGGTTGAATCCATGGTCGAATACGAATTTGACCAAACCAAGTTTGAGGAATATTTCTCATCATCCTCTTTAAGATTTTCATTGTCTCGCAAGTACAAGAGGATCTCACCATTGAAGAAGACGTCCATGCCAAAGAAGGCACAGAATGAAGACTCTCGCCTGATTGTTGCTGAGGATTCTATTCACAACCTCTCTGCTCATAATGGCTCTTCACCAAGAAAAGAGTCATTAAATCAAAGCCCACCAACATTGACGAAAAGAGCTCGTCAGAAACAACGCCAACGCCGCGCTCGCCAAATGGCTAAGGCGTTGGAACAAACCGACAGGGTTCGTTATCACGCGGACCTAGAGTCGAGGAGACATCGAGTGGTTCAGTTGTCTCAACAACCAATCACTCATATCTCTGCTAAAATAACGACGGATGAATGGACTTTTGTCAAGAGGGCTCGCTCGACCCTCAAAGAAC